AATGTATTTGTCAAAACGTAAATGTATGTACCAGAGAGAATGAAGCGTCTCCGATCCCATAAAGTACATATATTCTTGATCAGCATCAATAGCCGAGTCGATCTAGCCATGTCCGTTTGTCTGTCCGTCCGTCTGTCCGTCTGTACGCCCGCCCGCTATAAGAGCTAGAGACCTGAAATTTTAGATTGAGGTCCTCCTAGTGCCTGCGCAGAACAAGTTTGTTTCCGATAAACGATGAGCGATATCGACATCCTGTTTTTTGTTTAGCAATTTTGTTAAATATTAGGAGCTTGAGTCACAAAACTTGATATGTTGCTTCTAGAATATTATATATATATCAAGTTAATAACCCAACTTATATTGCCAACCAATCTAAGCCACAATTTTAATGCAATTGACCTTTTGAGATATAATATAATGAGATATACATTCATGCGCGTCTGCTTCGCATTATATCGCATTCTAACAGCATTAAAATTTTTTCTGTAATGCTCTTTTAGTTCGTTTTCTTTTCAATAACACCTAATTATTGGTGTGGCTGTTGAATAGAGGCATAGCAAGTGCTGCGGTTTGTCGCAAGCCCTATCTGGGAAACCATTTTTTTTTTTTTGCTGGTTTGTCTGTTGAGTAGAGTCGTCAGCAAGTAATACGGTCAGTTGCGAGTTCGAATTCTGCCAAGGGAACTTTTTTTTAAATTTATCTTTAAACCTTGAAATGAGCGCGTTGCGCATATTGCATTTGGTGTTGGGATAAGACGGTTCAGGATATTCCCTAGTCGGAAGCTTCCGACTAGAGCCTCTTACTTGTTATTCTTGTTATTTGTGTTTTTATAACATTGTATGAGGATATAAGGGTATGATTATTTGACGATGTATTGTGTAACGCAGAGGCATCTCCGACCCAATAAACTAATTTATTCTTAATCAGTATCCAAAGCTGAGTGAATATAGCCTTGTGCATCTGTCGGTATATCATTTTTAAACAAAGGTTGCAAATAACAGAGTCAAAACATATTTTTAATGCGATCTTTACTCAAGCAAAACAAAACGAAAAATATTCGGTTTTGCCTTTCGTCGAATATTTTATTTTATTTTTGGTTGACCAATACACCCGTTTCAGTCTTACAATAACTTTTTTACAGGACATATGGGATCGGTAGCACAGAAAATGTGTACTTGTCGAAGAGCATAACGAAAAAGTGAAAGCAAAAAGTATCTTTTTATGTTTTAGTGTATACATAATACAGTTATGTATATGCGCTAGGCTATTTTAAAAACATATTTGTATGTGTACATGCATATATTCAAACACCCATTAAATTATTTATAGTTTCCGCATTCATTGCTACTTTAATCGTATTATAACCTTTTCACGGGTACCCTTTTCAAAATGTGTAATGCATAGAAGGTGACATCTCCGACTCCATAAAGTATATACATTTTAATGTTCTTAATAAGTATTAAAAGCCGACGTGATACAGCTATGTCAGTCTGTCTGTTTCTATGCGAACTATTCTCTCAGTTATTGTCATGAATCTTTGCATTCATCCCTCTTTCTGCTGCCATGGGAACGGTCGGTCAAAAAGAAGGTTTTTGTATGAAAAACTTTTTTGCTTATCAAGATGCCTAGACACAACAAAGCATATATTAGTTTTATATCTTCACCAACTTCGGCATATTTAACTTTCACTATGCTCCTTATTTACTTCGGAGCTCTATATTATATAGATGCCATAGGAACGACCTGTGGAAAATTAAGTTGTGTGGAAAAACCTTTTATTTTTCAAGATATCTTAACCATATTCGGCATTTACTATTTTCCCCGTGCTTCTTAAATACGGGCAAAATAATATGAGCATTATAAAAAATTCTTTCTGCAACGGTTTTCGGCTTGCCGAAGGTAAAGTGAAGAGCCGAGAATGCTCTTTCAAGCGACTCCTGAGTTGATGGTGTTGCCAGCACAACCTGTCAAAGCTAACTCAGAAAAGGTGATTTTAATAAATTTTGTTGGTACAAATCCAATACATTTCTCTCAAATGGTAAACGACCATGAGCCATAAAGAAATTTTCGATTTCTCATTATGTTGCGCCAATTTTTCAGGCATTGGCTATTTTTGGTTTTGTGTTGCTACCCCATCCAAATATGCAGAAAACAGTGATATTTTTCCTGTAGCACTTGTATCAGTGGAGGATGATAGTTCTCCCATTGACCTCTAAAATAAATCTGCATTCATTATTATGATTTAATTAATTACATGCATATATTAAATGTGTTAGTTTAAAAAACAAAAACAACTGTACTTATTAAAAATATTTATTCTAAAAAACGAAACATTGACTGCTATATAATATAAAACACTAGATGAGAATATACGGGACCTGCACTCCAATGACACTAATACACACACAAATTTATTGTCTATTATAGTCTCTGTCCACTGGTTTAAGAAATGTCACATTTTCAAATTTCACATATTGGTGTTCCACCGGTTGTCGGTAACGTGTGAGTGGCAAAAGTACCGCTTTCTTAAAAAACGGCTGATCGAGTTTCTTTAAATTACATAATCGCCGTAAAGTTCTTCTTCCAAAACTAAATATTGCGCTATCGAAGTAAGGGCTCCATTTTAGGTACTCTTTTCGACATTCGCCATGTTTAAATTCTCAAAACTGTGGGATTATTCTAATTTTAAATTCTTATTTAAATTTGCCTATTGCCTTCGTTGATATATCAGCTGTTTATGTTTACGATATTTTACCATTTTTCACAACATCGATAGAAATCTCGATTAATCATCGCAAAAAACACGAAATATTTGGGGCGAACTTGCACATTTTTGACAGATGTGCCTATTTTGAAAAGTGCGTGAAATGTGTTTTCTTATGGGACAAAAATGTCAAATGTGTCCAGTGGACAGAGGCTATTCTTCAAAAATGCGAGCTGCATTTTTATTTTAATTTGGTTTTGCCAAAATTTGTGATGGTCTTTTAGGATTAAATTAATGCGTGGGTCCACTCACATGCTAAAGACAATACACCAATACAATATGTGACATTTGAAAATGTGACTTTTCTTAAGCCAGCGGAGAAAGACTATTATTACCACTAACCATAGAATGCATTGTATGGTTGGTGCTATTACCCAACATCTTGATAGAAGTTGTTGGATGTTGCTCAGTGTGAATTGACTACAAAATGTTAAATATATCGATCAAAATAAACACCGTGATATATCGATTTTTCGGCCATCCCTTCGCCAACTCATCTTTGCTGAAATTGTCAAATTCGCTTTAATTTCTGTGTATTAAATCTAGAAAATGCTAAAGGTACTTTATGTTATTTTCACAATCTTCGGATATATTTGGCCAATTTATAGTGTCATGTTCCACTTGACACCAAACACACAAAAATGTCTCAAGGAGGATATACAAGCTAATCAATTAGTAATGGGCGAATACGAAGTTTCGGATGTGCCTGGTCAAATTATAGACTATATAGTGAGGTTTAATTTTTTATAATTTAAGAGAAAAAGTAAAACAAACTATTTTATAGGCTCGGGACACTAAGGGCCATATACTTTCACAAAAGGAACATATAACCAAAGGAAAATTCAGCTTTATGTCAGAGGTTTATGACGCGTATGAAATTTGTTTTATTTCAAAAGTGCCACCGCGTAAGTAAATTGTTATATACAATTAATATCAAACTGACACTTGTAATAATAGATCAACGTGGAATAAGTCAAGAGGTCTCCCTTGTAACGAAAAAGGGTGTTGAAACTAAAAGTTATGAAGGAGTAAGTTATACAAGAAAATTAATTAAAAAGGATTATATGAGTTTTTCCGAAACTGCCTTTATAGATAGGCGAGGCCTCGAAACTGAAGCCCCTTGAAGTGGACCTAAAGCGCTTAGAAGACCTTTCTGATTCAATAGTTCGAGACTTTGCTTTAATGCGTAAACGAGAGGAAGAAATGCGTGATACAAATGGTGACAACTGAAATACATGGAAATTTCAGCCTTAATAACATTGACTTGTTTATTTCAGAAAAAACTAATAGTAGAGTACTATTCTTCAGCATTTTTAGTATGTGCTGTTTGCTTGGCCTGGCAACTTGGCAAGTTCTATACCTTCGCAGATACTTTAAGGCAAAAAAACTCATCGAATAGTTCCATAAATACTATATTTCAAACAGCTCGAGTTTTACCGCTTTTTTCTCAACGCCTTTAACAATAAAGTGTAGCAAATTAATAAATTATCTATTTTTATTTTATTCACACAATGTTATTAAGAATAGGTATAATACTTGGGATTTGGTGTATATATTCATTTGGTAATATCCATACTGCTGACAATCTCTAAACGGTTGTCTCTTTAAGCAGCACACCTCCATCAGTTTCTAGCTTGCCCACGCAAGTGTCTTCATTAGGCACGTTCAGATTTGAAGATATTGCCTTAACTATAACATAGTGGGAATTGGATATCGGTTTCCCCGGAATACTACCGTCTGCGACATTCGATTGTGTCATCCAGAGACTTTCGTTTACCAAGGTTTCATTCATTAAAGTCTTTAATGAATAGAGTGTTTCGACTAAGCGTGTTTTGTTTGCCGACTCTACAAGAATATAAAATAATTTTTAGTCCATATATTTTATTTAAAGTTTAGTAATAAAAATGAGCTGAAACAAAATTACTATCCAAGCGCTCAAAAATAAAAACAATGCAGTTAATCAGATAACATCAACTATTTTTGTGTATATATTTATAAATAATAAAATACAAAAAAATTAAAGTAAATATACATATAAATATAAATGTAAATATATATATACCTATTCTGAAAAATATTTATTTTGATATTTTTATTTGACCAAGTTTTGTTTCTTAACCTTTCTTAGTTTCTTTACAATTCTGTAATATTACTAATGTACAGACGGATAATTCTTTCTCTTTATATCTACTATGTGCATAGCCAAATCCACCCTTTTTTCGGCGGTAGGGCAATGTTTTTTTTTTTTCATTTTTCTTGGCTAAACTTTTATATTAAGTTTACCTAGCTTCAAGGCGACTTTAATATGTAAGCATAGGTTGCGCAAATCGTAATTTTACAAACCAAAATTGTACAAAATAATATAAGAAAAGAACACTATAAATAAAAAATGAAAATACTTTTCAACCAACGTAACGTCATCCTTAAAATCATTATATAATTACATATATGTAACTAAAAGCGACAAACATAACACTTTGAGTCCCAATCAATCATGAAAGTATGGATGCAGCTTGATCGTGATATGGGGTAATTAGGGGGGGATATTATGTACAACACAATTTAATTTCGATTATATTAACTCTGTTGCATATACGAAATCACAGTAATGGGTCAATTATGGCTATTGATATATTTATCTTTGGTGTGAACTTAAGTAATTTTATCTTCGAAAACTTTCAACTATACGTAAGCTTTACATCTTTTATTAATATTAATAAAATAAAAGACATTTTTAGTGTTTCAGAAATATAGCAACAAAACAGTTAAAAAATAATTGAAATATTTATAAAAACAAAAACTTACAAATACTGATAAAAAATAAAATAAAAACTTAAAAATTAGTGAATACTGCAACACATAGAAAAAAAACTACGATTGCGATTTCTACTGTTTGAAAGAGATTTTGGGGAGCTAATAGCTTCAACATTATGAACATCACCCTTCCCAAAAGCAACTTCATCTCTATCTGAAGTAAACATTACTGTTCGCTGAAGGTCCTCTAATCGAGATTTTAACTGCACAGGTGTAACGGTAGCTCTTGACTGTTTCTCTGTGATTGCATGGAGTGATTGTAAAGAATATAAGTCGTCGTCATTTTCATTTTGCCCAGAGTATTGCTTTTTATGATCTTCATCAGTGGTTTCCATAAAAAATTCTATTTTGCAACTTTTGCTTTGGGAAGTTGTTGGTATGTTCCTAAGCTCAAGATATGGGGAATTGGATTCATTGCTTTCTGGAGTATACGGGTCCAGGTGCGACCTTTCAATATAAGTATTAAGGTGTTGTGTATCGATTTGATTTACTATTATATTTCCTGAAAATACAACACTATTTGATAATAGCCTGTACCGATGCTCAACAGGCTGCCCTTTCGTTATATTACTGCATATTGGGCAAATGCCACTTTTAGGCTGAGTCTCAAGTTTAGCTCCGCGGGAGTCCGCATTATATGTTTGTGTACACATACAAACATATATATTATCGGAATCAATTATATTAATGCTAATGCTTGGGTAGTTTGATGTATCGTTTTTTATATCTTCGTGGCATCCAACTTTTAAATAGTCTAACGGAAGGTCTTGTGATTTACTGCCTTGGCTTAGAAGTTTACCTTCTTTTATAACTTGATTATATACTTTTTCTAAATAGGGACAAGTCTTGAATTTAACAGGTGATATTAAATTGTTGTTATTAATATGGATAGCTGAACAGCTGCAGTCACATGATCTATAAGTACCTTTGTTTGGCTTTAGATGAACAGTTAAGTAAATGGGCTACATGGCAAGAAAAGAAAAAAGGTATTAGAAATATCAGCAGTAAAAATGGTACTATAAATGAAATATTTATAAATAGTTAATCAATTATCAAGTATTATCAATTTATAAATAGTTCAATCAGGTAAGAGAGTCGGGAGTGCCCGACTAGGGGATACCTTGTAAATTCTACGAACACCAAATGCAGCTCGCCCAACTCGTTCGCTTTGGTAGTAATAACAAGTAAGAGGTTCTATTCGGGAGCTCCCGACTAAGGGATACCCTGAACCCTCTTCTTTCAACATCAAATGCATATATATTCTATTTTAGAAGCTATATGTCAAGTTTACCAAAATTGCCCAAAAACAGAATATCGATCTTGATTTTTATCGATTGCTTGGAAACGGAGTAAATTATCGATAATCGGAAACAAACTCGATCTGCGCGGGAACTAGGAGCACCTACATCTAATTTCAAGTCTCTAGCTCTTATAGGTTCTGAAATCCTTGCGTTCATACATACGGACGGACGGACGGACGGACAGACAGACGGACATGGCTAGATCGACTCGGCTATTGATGCTGATCAAGAATATATATACTTTATGTGGTCGGAGATGCTTCCTTCAGCCTGTTACATACATTTGGATTTCGCACAAATACAATATACCCTTATACCTATTTTTAATGGGTTCAGGGTATAAAAATAAATTTAAAACAAGTAATAGGTTCAAGTCGGGAGCTCCTAAGTAGGGGATACCCTGAACCCTCTTCTTCCAACATGAAATGCATATATATATATTCTATTTTAGAAGCTATATGTCAAGTTTGGTGACTCTAGCTCTTATTATTTACCAGAATTTCCCAAAAAAACAGGATATCAATATCGATTTTTATCGATTGCTTGGAAATGGAGTAAGTTATCGATGATCGGAAACAAACTCGATCTGCGCAGGCACTAGGAGCACCAACATCTAAAATTTCAAGTCTCTAGCTCTTATAGGATCTGAGATCCTTGCGTTCATACATAGGGACAGACGTATAGACGGACATGGCTAGATCAACTCGGCTATTGGTGCTGATCAAGAATATATATACTTTATGGGGTCGGAGATGCTTCCTTCTGCCTGTTACATACATTTGGATTTTGCACAAATAAAATATACCCTTATACCAATTTGTAATGGGTTCAGGGTATGAAAATATAGGTCCCCCAATTATTTTCAAGCTTTTAACAGACCACACAAATTGCTTACGCTTTTAATCAACACCCATACAAGCAATTCAATTTCGACAAAAAAAATCTACCTACAGAACAGAAAGCAATACAATCACAATTGCAATTCTGTTTATACAATTGAATAAAGACGTGAATGAATGTGTGTGTAGATGTATACAGAAATTCTTGTGATTTGCGTTAACTGCCGCAAATACGTTTTGTGTTTCTTAAACGATCTTGTTGCAATTTTCTGCTGTAGATCTTATTGTGGAAAGTTTTGTGCTACAAATTTCATATATTACCATCCCACTAAGTATCTCCACTTCTATTTAAAAACATGTTTAAAGTGGATTGGATAAAGAACCAAATTTTGGAACCAGATATTTCCGCTTTTATTAGTCTTGTGGTAAGAACCTTGAGGTCGAATAAAAAATGTGCGTTACTCTTACTCGCATTTTCCATCCAATTACAAGTAACTTTGCGGAAGCGTGAAATCAAATGTTCTGATAAAAAAATTTGAAAATGTGTTTGGAACCGTTAATTAACCAAAAAGTTGAGTAAAGTTTTCTCGATAAATTTCCACAGATGCGGGTGGAATTTTGAAAGTCGGCGAAACACGTATTCATTAAGTTTATATGTATAGCTTCGCAAATAAGTTAAAAAACTTAAACTTTCGCCAGAAAAATCTTTGAATCGCATTCCTTTTGACGAAGCTTAGATTCTGCGAAAAACGTGAGACACGCCTTAAATGATTCACTGTATAGAACTTTGGAAGGTAAACAAAAAAATTTCATACGAACGTTTTTCGCGAATTTCCCATACTTGCTCATGTAATTTCCCAAATAGCTAAAACACGCATGCATTAAGTTCTTATGTACAGCATTGAAAAAAAGTTTGGAGCAAATCGGACGAAATTTAATTCTTCTCTTAGAAAATCTTTGAATCGCACTTTTCACCGAGGAAGCTTTGTTTTGAGAAAAATGTATATCAAGCCTCAAATTTTTGCATTTAGATCGTTGGCTATGAATTTGAGCGCGAAACGTCAACTACCAAATCTTTGACACCCATTTTCACAAGAAAGGAATGGATTTTTCGAAAAGTGAAACACTCCTCAAATTAATTTAAGCAAAGATCTTTCAAAAATAAGTTTGAAGCCGGTCGGATGGTAAACAAAAAAGTTTCATACTAACACTTTCCCGAAACCCCGTCTTAACAGTGAAAATTTCCGCTTCTTACAGTATAGGCTGTTCATTGATCACTAATCAGGCCATCAGTTTGGACAGACAGTATTATATATTTATAAAACCTAAGAGATATGCTCAAAAACAAGACTTTAATGTAGGTTTTTTTCGATTGCTTGGAAACTTACAAATACATATACTTTTTAATGGGTTAAGAGTAGTAAAAAGTGTACATATGTGAGTGTATGTGGAACTTAGGCCCTTGCCTTCGCAGTACCAGTATGTTTGAAAATATCGGAAAATTACCCTGCCTTAAAGCAATACATAAAAATTAATGTCGTCGTAAGGTTGTTGCCAAGTTTGTATATGCTTGAGTCAGCAAATTTGATATCTAGCTTATCGTATAGCTCCACGTATATCGTATATTTCCACGCCACCACCTCATAGATATACATTTTTCATTTAAAGTGAATTGTTGGTATGTCTGTCAAGTAGAGGCGGTGGCAAGTAGCGCGATTTATTACGGGTTCAAGTCTTATTGAGGAAAACATTTTTTTTATTTTACTTTTATTACTGCTAAAGTAGACGAGCTCGTAACTCGAGCTGCATTTTGTGTTGGTAGGAGAGGGGTATCTCCTGGTCAAGAGTTCTCGACTACAGCCTATTACATGCATCAATTTAAGAAATACTTAAATATGCAAAGATAATGGAAAAAGTTAACATTACACACTGCGTAACATATATTGATGTACATTGAACTTTGAAAAAATTGTTACCTTATGGTCGCCCATGCATACAGTTTGTCCTATCATATCATATTTCCACTCATCACTTTTAATTATGTCTTTGATTTGTGGAGCCATTAAAATACGATCACACCATGATGGACACCTGGTTGACATATAATCAGTAGGCATTTCGGGATCTTCTTCAAAAGGATATGATGGAATAAAAGATATTGGATATTCGACCAAAATGTCCCGAAGTGGCTCCAATTCTTTATCATAGTCTTTTAACTATTACAATAAAAACGAAATGTATGTTGTAATATATACATAATATATGCACAATTATATTACCCAAAATTCTTTGAATTTAAGTTGATGATCGGCGTGACAAAATTCTTTTTTACCAACAGTAAGTATATTATTGCCATCTGAATTGCGGTAATTAATTTTAGTGTTTTCATTCTTTACACTTTGCACGCGATGAGCAGTTAAATTTGCAGTCAATTCCTATTAAAATATAATAATTATAATTAAAATTTAATAAGGTATAACATGTATTGTGAACTTACTTTCACAACGCCTGCTGTGTCACATCTGAAATTGAAATCTCCAAATATAAAAAAAGGAACGGATCCATTTTTTTCATCTAAATGAAATCTGATTAATAATAAAATGCATCAATACAACAATAAAGGAAATTTGTCAGTATTCCTATGTTGGATTATATGTTAAAATATATTATACATACATCGTTTTTTGCATCACCACTGCCACACTCAAACAAGAGTAAGAGTGCTCTAGTTGAGAGTGCCGGATTAGGGGATAGCCTAAAATCCACCGCAACAAACATTTGAACTTATTTTCTCTCGCACAAATATATATATATATATATATATATATATATATATATATATATATATATATATATATATATATATATATATATATATATATATATATATATATATATATATATATATATATATATATATATATATACTTAACGGTTTATATTTTTGTGCGTGAGTGCGAGAAAAAGGAAGTTAAGATCTATATATATATATATCCTGACTTACTGACTGTTTGATTGCTGATCAACGCACAGCCCAAATCGTTAATGCTAGGTAGCTAAAATTTTTACGGCGGGGTTTCGGGAAATTCCACCCGCAAGTATGGAAAACGCGACAAAAAGTTTGTATGAAACTTCTTTGTTTGCCATCCGATCGGCCTTAAATTCAATTTCAAAGATCTTTGTTCAAATTTATTTGGGGGTCGTTCGCACTTTTTAGAAAATGGATTTCTCTTTGGTGGATATAGGGTACAAGGATTTGGTGGGTGACGTTTCGTGCTGAAAATCAATTCCAAAGATCTGTATAAAAAATTATTTGAGACATATTTTACGTTCTTCGCAGAATCCAAATTTCTTCGGTAGAAATGCGATTCAAAGATTGTTTGGGTTAAGTTTTAAGGCTTGTGCGATTTGCTTCAAACTTATTTACAAAGCTCTATATAGGAACCTAAGGAATATCTGTTTTAGCGATCTGTCAAATCCCACTCTCAACAGTAGTAAATTGGCGGAAAATGATTGTATGAGAATTATTTGTTTATTGTCCGATTAGTTTCAAAATCATTTTTCAGGCTTTTTGAGAACATTTATGTTATCCGTGCCACGTGCATCGCCGGGTTACCCGCTAGAGTATATATGAAGTTAATAAAGAAAAAAAAATTTTGGCTATATATAATAATATATATTATATACAATTTGTTAAGTAGTTGTGTGCAAAATGAAAAACTTCACACATATTCATTTACAAACGTTTTTATTCTTTTCAAACTTTTATTATAAGTAAAAAAACAGACAAAATTAAAATTCGCAAATTTTCGCCGAAATACAGCCGAAGCTATCTAACGGTACTTCCAATTCGAAGTAAATTGCAACAATTTTAAAACAGATCATCAATAAACGCCAAATGAGACTGAGGCAATTGTCATTGGACTTAAAAATGAGTGCAAGAAGACAGTGAGGCATGAGCCATTCGTTAAATTTTAAAAATGCATAGGTACCCCTCCCAACTACCCAGAAATAAGCCTTTACTATCTGTAGCAAATATTCAGATACTGCTTCATTAATTCATTTTTTTACTGCCAATGTCAACAAACCCGTGTAGTACTAGAATGACGTTATATGTTATACCATCATTTGAGGACCAAGCAGAGATTGGAGGAAGCCCAATACAGTTTTGGAACAGAAAAATATAATACCAACTATAAAGTTTGGCGAGCTGATGTGATGACGAAAGAGATTTTTTTGGACATTCTAAATGAATTGTCAACGAGCGCAATAAAGTTTGTTTTCGTAGACTCCCAAAACCCCAATGAACAGAGGTACAAGCTTTAACAGGACAACGACCCCTAACACAAATCATCTCTGGACAGTCATTGACACCCCTGCCCAGAGTCCCGACCAAGCTATAATAAAAACGCTCTCATCAGGGCCATTCAAGAAGAATGGATAAAAATACTTGAAATGTATGGCCTTTATAACCGTATTCAGTCTATGTCTCGTCGGGTGCAGTCTGTAATGAATGCTCATGGCCAATATACCAAATATATGTACTCAAATAACTAAACAAGGTATGTAAAACAAAAAAAAATCTTCAAACTTTATTATACCCTGAAAATGGGTACAAGGGGTATACTGTTTGTTGTGCAAAGGTATGTAACAGGTAGAAGAAAGAGCATCCCCAACCCCATAAAGTATACATATTCTTTATCAGCATCATCTCAAAACCTAAGGACTTGATATTTTAGCTATAGGTCCTCCTAGTCCATGCGCAGATCAAGTTTGTTTTCGATTATAGATAACTTACTCAGTTTCCAAGCAATCGTTGGAAATCGATATCGAAATCCTGGTTTTTGAGCAAATTGGGTAAACAATAAGAGCTTGAGCTTTTTTTGTGGCGGCTGTGGCTGTCGAGTAGGAACGGCGGCAAGTAGTGGGGTTAGTTGCGAGTTCGAGCTCTGCAAAGGACTCTTATTTTTATTTTAAATTTATCTTTGCTACTACTAAAGCAAAAGAGCACGTAGCGACAGCTGAATTTAGTGTTGGAATAAGAGGGTTCAGGCAAAGACAATATAAACACTAAGATGAGTAACGACCATACATTTGAATGTGACGCAAAATTTCTAGCCTTGCCTTTCGCCTGGCTTCGTACGGCATGCATGCTGTCTTCGGCAAAGCTGGTCGATGCTGCTTTGCGGTGCTTCGTTTTCGAAGTACATTGAACGAAAAAGTTTAGAACTTACGATCGACGCAAAGTGCTTGTGCTTTATCCATGAAATGCATGCTTTATTTAAATGATATATTACCCTAGATACTAGCGATTAATTTTATAGGAAAATTAAAAAATTTAATAATTTTTCATGACACATCTTGTGCAAAAACTACGTTAAGAAAATAGCATACATAGATTGATTCCACTTTTGTTTTTGAACAGTGTATGTTCGAGAAAAGTTCTTGTCTCAGCCAATGGCGTGCAAGCACCTTTGGTTGTATGCGTGAATTATACATGCATAAAAAGTTTAAAGTATGTATGTATGTGTTGTTATTCACTGCTCTGGATTTAGCTGGCAAGAAATTAATTTTGTTTTTCTAGCGCAGATCATGACCTATCTTAAATTTGTGTTGATATATGAATGCATTTTGTGTACTGAGGTTGGCTCCGTAGAAAATATGTATTTCTAAGTCGATGCAAGTATTGATATTTTTATCGATGGCTCGGAAACGGAGTAAGTTATCGATTATCGGAAACAAACTCGGTCTGCGCAGACACGAGGAGCATCTACATCTAAAATTCCAAGTCTCTAGCTCTTATAGGTTCTGAGATCCTTGCGTTCTTACATACGGACAGATGTATAGACACATGGCTAGATCGATACCCCCAAAAATGAAGAAAATAAAATAGCACCATTAGACCTTTTCTTAGTGAATACTCGTTATTTCGCGGAATGCCCTTTGCAGAATGAACGTGCCTATAAGTTTTGACTAAGATACCATTTTTCTTATCATAAAAGGTAATAATAATCATTATAATGGAACGTGGAAAGCACTGCACTGCAGAGAATCGCGATCTTATCAAAAAATTGATATTGGACGGAAAAACTTACAGAGAAGTTGGTCAATTTGTAGGATACTCCAATAAAATAATTAAAAACGTCTTAAACTATCAAATAAATATTGAAACACGCGGACGATAACGATCTATGACTCATTTTCATGTCAAAAGACTGATTCGTCAGAACACGAAGGATCCCTTCATGCCTGCTACCGAAATTAAAAAAAAAAGCTTAACATAAATGTGAAGGAACATACAGTTCCCCAATATCTTAGGCAACCTAAAAATACCGCAAACCAAGAAAGGTACCACTTATAAACGCGACACCTATTACTAAGCGTATGAAGTTTGCCCAGGGATCATGCAAATTTGACGGCCCAACAATGGAGGAATATTCTATGGTCAGATGGGGCTAAGCTGGCTATGATTGGTGGAAAGAGATCTCGACCATACCTTAGATGTCCAAGGAACACAAAATACAAACCCCAGTACACAACAAAATCCATCGCATGGACGGTGTAGTTTAATGGTATGGGCCTGCTTTTATGGAGTAGGTCTAATACATTAAAGAAAACCATCATGGATCAGCACGTGTATGTGCATATCATGGAGTCAGTTATGCTTCCCTTTGTAGAATACGAAATGCCCCTCGTACTGGTCTTTCAACAGGACCCAAACACACCAGCAAGAAAGCAAAGGAATGGTTTAGGGCAAACTCTGGGAACGTTTGGAGTGGCCTGCTGAGTCGCCTGACCTGAATCCGATCGAAATTCTGTGGTCCGACGTCAAGAAGGCTGTTGCTGCTTCCAAAACATCCACTATCGGAAGAAATTAAAGAGTCCTGGTCCAAAATTCCCCTAACATTATGCCAGGACTCGGTTGATTCCATGCCCAGACGCTTTGCAGTTGTCATTGCTAATAAAGGACACTGTACTATATATTAAATGATGAATATAGACTTAGAATTAATAGTTTAAAATTGTTGACTTATGAATTCCTCACTTATTATCCAGTTTTTTTATTTTGAATCGATTTTTGAAAAATGGTTCTATTGTTTTTTGCGCCTAATTTAATCATTTAATTAATTAATCAATTAATTAATTCAACAAAGTTTCTTAAATAACTGAAGAACATTAAATTTCCATGTTTGTAAGTGTCTTCCCTTTCTAAAAATGTGCTTCAAATTTCCTTACTGTTAAAAATGTGGGTGTGGCAACTATTTAAAAATTGCTGGTTGTAGTGGTGCTATTCTTTTTTTCTCAACTGTTTCTTGAACTAATAAAAAAAGGTCGACTTTTATAAAAAAACGTGGTTATATAGCTAACTTAGCTAGGTTTTGGCCGATTTATCAAAAAATATTACAAGTTTTATCATTATTTGCATAGTTATTATCAGCAACGTGCGGCATTTCTTTTAAAAAATATATTTTGACTCTTCTTCGGAGCAGTTGAAATATAATGGCTTAAAAAATATCAACTTTATCTAAAAATGAAATATATCGATAAACGACCAAATTTAACATTATTCAATGTTTAAGGCATCAGTTTTCAGTCTTAAGCCACCAAAAAATTGTTTATATCGGTTCGAGTGGATTCTGCCAGTATTATGTTTCATTTAATTATTTACCTTTCAATAGTATGTACCAGGGCTCTTCTCCTTGTTTTGCAGTATACAGAAGGAAAATCTTTACATGCATCCAAATTAGATGCATCATGAAAAAGATGTATATTGACTAGATCAACGGCAGTGCCATTAATTTCCCATCGAGTTCGCATAAATCCTTTCCGAGACCATTTACACTAGGGTAAAGTATAAAAAAAGCTTTTATTACTAACTTAAACTTTTCTTTGTCATGTTATAAGGTATGATAAAGTAATCAAGTCGAGGTGTGTTCAAATGGAAATCTATATAGCCCCAAGCGATAATAAGAAAAATTATACGAATAGATGATGATGCGCTGCATCAGTTTTAAAATGTTGAACTATGAGGTTTGGCGAACTACTAATTCAATAAAATCGCCATTTAGCTCTTAGTTTAATTTTTTGATATCTTGGTATTAAGGATGACATATAGCTTTAAATAAAAAAACTACATGAAAGTCACAATAAGCAAGTGCCATGGACAGAATACTACGACTATTTAAAAGACAATACCTTATAATGGTGAGCTAGAACACGGGTCAGCTTTGAAGCAATTGTACACAAACACTTGATTTTAGCAGTTACTACTAACAAAAAAAGATTAATTTTACTGTTGAAAAAATAAAGTACTAGATTTGGGTGTAAATACACACATGTGTAACAACCATGCGCAAAAACAAGAGCTAATTTTTCTGATAAATTGGTATCTGTCTTCATTTAAAGACAACATAACTGCACGAAACTCAAAAGTTTATTTGCTGCTTGGCAAGTAAATACATATATAACAGCTTTTTAGAAATTTGCTCCTAATTAAAGATAACGAACGTTTACTGAGGGCCCCAACATTTTCAGGATCTATTAAGCAAAATATCTTAAACTCCTATTTTGTTTTTATGTTATCCCAATTATTACGCAATTTACCAACTTATTACGATTTACTTTTCATGAGATGACTTATAAATTTAATAATAATAAGATGCAGTGTAAAATTCAGTGTCATTTATTTCGATATGGTCATAGTAAATCAAAGAGTAAAAATATATCTAGATTATTTCGACAAAGTTAATCAAGCGAGCCAAGCATTTTATTTTATTAAAATATTTAATTTTGTTCTTTTATTTCTAATTATATAAACATTTACTGTTGACAACCTTAGCCAATTGATGTAGAGGGAAAGTGCATATTCTGTGTCTGCAACATACCACTAAATCGTAATCATCTTATTTATAGCCATTTTTCTGGGAGTGGCAGTACGTGGCTGCAAACTTTTGACTCGATTTTCAGAGGCATTAGACATATATTGTGACCAAAAGACTAATTATGATTTTTAATTATATATAGACAGACAATGGTCAAATTTTAAATAAAAACTATTTTTATATTTCGTGTAACATAAATTTGTTGAAATTGTCATATTTTAGTTTTAATAAATTACCGTTATTTTCGGTGTCTAGTAAACGCTTTGTTTCAACCAAAGTCGTGAATGTAAATGTCTAGAAGGTTGCAAGCCTTAAATTTCTAACAAAGCATTTGTAGTATGTAGTAGTAGTCCGACTTAAAAAAATCTTAAATTCTCTGATAACTTTTTATACCCTTGCAGAGGGTATTATAATTTTGTCGTGAGATGTGTAACGCATAGAAGGAGACATCTCCGACCCCATAAAGTATATATATTCTTAATCAGTATCAACAGCCGAGTCGATATAGCCATGTCCGTCTGTCTGTATCTATGCCAACTAGTCCCTCAGTTTTAAAGCTAAGCACCCAGCACATATGTGAAAACCATCTGGATCGGACCACTATATCATATAGCTGCCATAGGAACGATCGGTCGAAAATTAAGTTTTTGTATGAAAAAACATTTTGTTTATCAAGATATCTTGACCAAACTTGGCATTTATTAGTTTTACTCTACTCCTCATATATGTGCAAAATCCTATTAATATCGGACCGCTATATCATATAGCTGCCATAGGAATGATCTGTCGAAAATTAAGTTTTTGTATGAAAAAACATTTTGTTTTTCAAGATATCTTGACCAAACATGGCATTTATTAGTTTTACTATGCTCCTCATATATATGCAAAATCCTATTAAGATCGGACCACTATATCATATAGCTGCCATAGGAACGATCGGTCGAAAATTAAGTTGAATGAAAAAACATTTTGTTTATCAAGATATCTTGACCAAACTCGGCATTTACTATTTTCCCGGTACTTCTTAGATAGGGGCAAAGCACTATAAGCATTATGAAAAGGTTGGGTCTGCAAGGGTATTAGATCTTTGGCGTGCCGAAGATAGCCCTTCTTTCTCGTTTATTTTAATTAAAGAAGACTTACTTCGGGAAAAAAATGCTGAGGGAACTTTGCCTTCTCCTTAGTAGGAACGTTTTCAATATTACCAGAATATATTCGATTGCCTTTGTCCAGTTTTTCGTCCCAGTCGTGAGTAAGAAAATTCCAAATTCTTAATAGACATATATCCTTGTGACCGAAGTAAATGTTTCCAAGGGCCTTTAAAAAACGAACAAAATTATATAAATTCTTCCCGACATCAGCTAAGTTACTTACAGTAAAATGTTCCGCAGACTTAAAATCCTCGTCCATATATATATGAACGTGGACAAAGTCAGTCTTCGCCATTTCCTCGCATAAACATCGGATAAATTCCTGTACATTACCCATCGAGTTCTCGTATGTCTTTCCACCCACTTCTTGTAGATGTAAAGCTAAAAATTTGGGATTGACCCTTGTTGCATTGCTAATAAACTCTTCTAGCCATATTGTAAGTAGTCTTTGTGGCTGGGCAGCGTTGTAGTTCATGAAATAATTTACATAGAATCTTTTTTAAGTACATACATAGATATATAAGTAAATACATACATACGTGCTTTAGAAAACAAATGTGCACATATGTAAGTACCAAATAGTAATATGTATACAAAAAATGTTATATACGTACATCTTCAAACAAACTCCCGACATTAGCTGTTACTAGCAATAGTTTCGTATCTGATTGGTCGCCTTTTGATTCCATTTTTTCGGATGTTTCCCAAACTTGTGTATCTTATTTTGTTAGAGTGTAGGGATGTAAGAAATACACTAATACATCGATAACTATAAACTTAAACCACTAACCATACAATGTATAGACATACCAAATGGCACTTTTAATCGAAACATGAAAAATCGAAACGAGGCGACCCCAATGGTACCTGCGACCATTTTAGTGTGCCCAGACACTGCTGAGACTGCTGAGAGTGGCAGCCGAGCGCCGGCCTCAAAGGCCGAACGTTCAGTATGAAGCCGCATCTCGTTCAGCGCACAACTTCGCGGCTGATGCGTTTTCTTAATATATGTATGTATGCCATTTTAAAATCCTTACAGCCCAAAAACATATATGTGTATGCATGTGCCTCGTTCTCACTCATTGCTTCGCACACTTGCATCCATCTCTTTCTCCCTGCATAGCTTCCCACAAAACCCCGAGATCTACAAACATTCATACGTTTGTGTTGTTTGGATGTGTGCACAAGTAGATCGCGGCGTTTGTCGCGAGCCAGAGGTTATTTCTTCAATTGTGTGCCTTTTTTGCCTGTGGTAGCAATAGGCACTCACATTTAAATGCTCTGTCATGTATTTCTTCGTCCAGTCAGGCATGATGAGAAGAATTTGATCAAATTTTATTTAATACACAATTAATTAACCTAAATAAAATATTTATATTTATTTTCTGTTTACTGTAGGGTCCTATTTTGCTTAAAATACAAAAATATCTAAGTCGTATTTCTGCAAGGGTAATTCATCGTCGGCTTGTCGAAGAATTTAAGAAAAGACCAAAAATTGACGCACACTCTTTCAAGTAAGCAGTTGTGTGAAATTATTAAAGGGTTTGGCCTGATCATGTGCAAAATTGTGTGCGTTTGTCGGGTTTGTCGTAAGGCAGAGATATTTTTATCAATGGGTGCGTAAATTTGGGCGACTGGCACGGTCTTTGTTTTTTTGGCATGCCTGCGGTGGGCTTGAATGAAACAGGTGGATCGCACTTGTCGCTCGTTTGCACTTTGATATAGAACAAAAGCAAGTAATCTTATATTGTCATTATAATAATCTTAGGTTAAAGGTTTTATGACAGGCAACTAACGATCAGAATGTATAGCATGCGTCTGGATCCATACCATTTTCATTGCCTTTTTATACATTTGTGCCTTTTGCGGCTGCAAGCCCACCACAGGCATGCCAAAAAAACAAAGACCGTGCCAGTCGCCCAAATTTACGCACCCATTTATAAAAATATCTCTGCCTTACGACAAACCCTTGATCAGCTCATTCGCACACATTCGTGTGCGTTTATATGTGTGTGTGTAGAGCTCGAAATTCGAAAATGCCAAAAACTTCAAATTTTGTCAAATTTGCATCGGGCAGGCAGACAGGCAACCAACACGCACACAAGCGCATTAATGCTTCCATCCATATAGAAAAGTGTGCTAGTGTGCGTGGTTGGCCGACCCAAAAAGTTATCATGCACACACGCCAGCGATCAGGTACCCCAACCCCTACAACAAGCATGGAAAATAGCAATTTCGCACATGATCAGGCCAAACCCTTTAATAATTTCACACAACTGCTTACTTGAAAGAGTGTGCGTCAATTTTTGGTCTTTTCTTAAATTCTTCGACAAGCCGACGATGAATTACCCTTGCAGAAATACGACTTAGATATTTTTGTATTTTAAGCAAAATAGGACCCTACAGTAAACAGAAAATAAATATAAATATTTTATTTAGGTTAATTAATTGTGTATTAAATAAAATTTGATCAAATTCTTCTAATCATGCCTGACTGGACGAAGAAATACATGACAGAGCATTTAAATGTGAGTGCCTATTGCTACCACAGGCAAAAAAGGCACACAATTGAAGAAATAACCTCTGGCTCGCGACAAACGCCGCGATCTACTTGTGCACACATCCACACAACACAAACGTATGAATGTTTGTAGATCTCGGGGTTTTGTGGGAAGCTATGCAGGGAGAAAGAGATGGATGCAAGTGTGCGAAACAATGAGTGAGAGCGAGGCACATGCATACACATATATGTTTTTGGGCTGTAAGGATTTAAAAATGGCATACCTACATATATTAAGAAAACGCATCAGCCGCGAAGTTGTGCGCTGAGCGAGATGCGGCTTCATACTGAACGTTCGGCTTTTGAGGCCGGCGCTCGGCTGCCACTCTCAGCAGTCTCAGCAGTGTCTGGGCACACTAAAATGGTCGCAGGTACCATTGGGGTCGCCTCGTTTCGATTTTTCATGTTTCGATTAAAAGTGCCATTTGGTATGTCTATACATTGTATGGTTAGTGCTTAAACGTTATGATCGTAATATATATCGCTTTTGTATCGTAAATTAAAAAGCGCCTATATGACTTGCGGGCCGGTCAAAACATATAAAAATTTACTAATAATAACACTAACCATCGAGACAAGCATTTTTAATACGACTGAACTCCATGAGTGCTTGCGACCATTTTGTTATGCCCAGAGAGAATAATAACCTCTGTCCATTGAACACATTTCTTTCACATTTTGAAAAATGTCACATTTTTGCAATATGTAATATGCGGCCTGTATGTTTCCCCGTAAGAAAACACATTTCATAAATATTTCAAAGATGTCACATTTTTTTATTTTTTTCGTGTTTTTGCGATGATTAATCGAGATTTCTATCGATGTTGTGAAAAATGTGAAAGTATCATAACCATAAACAGCTGATATATAAACGAGTGCAAGCGATAACTGTAAATAGGAAATTTAAATCCTACTAATTCCACGAATTTTAGAATCTAATCATGGCGAAATGTCGGAAAGAGTTTGTAAAATGGATTTGAATTTTGGAAGAAAAACTTTGCGGCGCTTATGTAAATTAAAACAACTCGAGCAGCTGTTTATTTAAAGAAGCGGTACTTAAGCGGAGGCATTGGCTGCAATTTGTAAGGATGCGAATCTGAACAGCAGTTTCACATTTTCAATTAATTTCATTCGTCCCGCAAAAAAGTACTCAGTGTGAATTAACTATTATGACTAACCATACCAAACAGCCAAACTGTACGGCGCCTATGTAAATTAAGGAAACTCGATCAGCTGTTTTTTAAAGAAGCGGTACTTTTACCTCTCATATATTGCGGACAACCGGTGGAACACTAATATATGAAATTTGAAAATGGGACATTTCTTAAACCAGGCTAAAAAAATGCCTTCAGTGGACAGACGCTATTAGCTTAGGAATTGGATTTCTGATACGCAAGGAGTATTGTGTCACACAAAACTATCTTGCATCCAGTTTGCTTAATGACTTTGTAAGTGCCTACCTAATATATGTTTCCAATGCTTACATTTAATTTTCATTGCTTAACACATTAAGCAAACAATGTTTACAGTGTGGTTATCTGCAGACCGTAAGTTTTTGTTATATGGAAGGAATATAAAAGTCTAATTATACTTACATCCAATAACATAAGTAATAATTATATTTCGATTTTAGCAATAGTAGCTTTATTTATCATACACCAAACAAGTGAATATGTAGATGCGTAGCTATTGAAGGTTACAGAGCTCGAGCTTCTAGACTTCAAGTTATATAACGATGGGGTTCTAATTGTGCGGCGTGGCTTTGTGGATTGTTGAAGCATTATATGTGCGTTTTGTAGTTGACTTAATGGCGATGTTTCTTCTAAGTTGGTTGTCGTTGATTGTTAGCGAAATCAGTCTGTGGTTGTGTTTCCATGAAAGCAGGTTTGAGGCGATCAATTGATACGTTGGTATCGTGACCATTGGTAAGTATGTTGAAAAATTTGGTTTGTTTTAATTTTACTTTAAATGATGCGCCTGAAGCGATCCACGCACCGTGTCGTTATTCAGAAAAACATGGGTTGAATCAGCTAATTGCTTAAAAATGAAAGGCTTTGATAAGTCGTGGTTGAAAATTTGAATTGATCGGATATCGCGCATCATCTCTGTAAGATCCTTGGCGAAATCAGTCTGTGCTTGAAATTGACTGGAGCTTTTGAAAAATTCTCCGGGAAGACGAAGAATTGTGCCGAAAGCAAGCTGTGCTGCTGTTGCTTGGATGTCGGGCTTCTATGTTGAGCGTAGGCCGAGGAGAATCATTGGCAATTTGGATGGCCAGCCGTTCCTGTTGTGTAATATTATAGCTGCCTTAATGGTGTGGTGCCAAAGTTCGATGATTCCGTGGACCTATGGATGGTAAGCGGTTGTTCGTAAGTAGTCAATTCCGAGGAGGCGCGGTAGCTCGCTAAATATCCTGGATTCAAATTTGCTGCTTTAATCCGTGGTGATGCGTGCTGGAACTCCAAAGCGAGATCTAAATAGACTACATTGAAGCAATGGTCCAATGAGGTCTACATTGATGTTTTATCTGCGTGAAGGCAGAGAGTATTGCAGGTGTGGTGAATGTATGTGTGGCGTGACTTGAGATTTTTGGCAAGGGATGCAGTGTTTGACGAAGTCAGCTAAGTATATCCTTATGCATACAAGGTCACACAAAGCGCTCTTTCATGAGTTTAATTGATGAACCAACTCCTCCATGGCTAATGCCATGTATCTTGCTGATAGTATTTTTTTTATGTGGCTGCAATATAATGGTCGCACTATGGAAATAGAAAAATCGCATTAGATTGGAATACTTGTTTGCGGTAGGTTAATAGATTTCATTAAAAGCTAAGTTGTGTTGTCATTAAGTAGCTTTTTTAGCTTTGGACAGCTTACTTGTGAAGCAGCAATCTTATTTTAGTCGATAAAATTGGCTTCGGTAGTTTCGATGCGAGAGAGTGTGTCAGCAGTAATGTTATTGTCACCTGCTATGTGCATAATAGCTGTTGTGAATTTTGGTCAGTGTGGACATAAACAATTTTACCTGCGAGCATGTAACGGAAATGCTTGATATTAAGGTAAATGGCAAGAAGCCCCGGATCCTATTAGCCGATGTTAATTGTTGACGATCTGGTGCAGTACAGCGCTCGCGGCTGTATCGCTTGCGTCGTGCTTATGATAACTGAGCATCTGGACCAGGATGTGCCAAAATTGTTGCTGCAGCTAGGA